TGCTCTTTCTCGACGTCCTCCTCGTCCGCGATTCGGGGGTCCTCTTCCTCTGGGTCGTCGTCGAAGACCATACGCCGCTTATCCCCGCGGGCGAGCCGTACGCCACTGAGTAGAACGACAGAGTCTTGCATGGAGAGGGTATCAGACGAACTGCCTCCGCGGGGCTCTTCGTGTTGCTCGTCAAGGGCGATGATATCGGTCAGCGCGGCTTGTATTGCTTCCATCCGCTGCGAATGTTCCTGCTGTTCCGCATCTTCTGGGTCGTCAAAAAGAGGCGCGCGGGCCGCCGAGGCAGAGGGATATTCATGAATCGGAGACATGAGAACTTGCAAATTGGACACCGCTGGGCGTGGTACAGGCGGTGTCCCGGGAAGAGGGTTCGGGGTCGGTGACTGGCGGGAAGTGCTGGGAGTGGGAGATGACTCTGATCGGAGTAATGGTGGCTTCGTAGTGGTGAACGAGGGATAGGGTCCACTGGGGCCAGGTCTGGTAGCAGGCGCAGCCTCTGAAGGGTGTCGCGTAGAGGTAGGCGACCTGTGACCTCCACTAAACGACGGGTCCTCCGCGATAGCCTTCCCGCCATTTGCCTGTATGTCAGCTATTGCGCGGAACCAGAGCTCCGAACGCTGGAACTCCTCAAAGTCGTGTTCCATCTCCCGTTCGATCTGCCTCTGCGCGAGCATGACACTGCGACGGACGCGCCTCTCCGAGGCAGGAGTAGACGTCTCCGCGCTCTGTCCGAAGGAGCGGATAGTGGTTATGTGTTTCTGCGAAACCGCGCTGAGCACGGGATCTGGAACGGGGCTGGAAAAGTATAGCTCGTTGATGAGGGAGATATCGTCCTTGAGGGTAGCAGACTGGGCAGAGTCCAGTAGAGGCTCGTCTTCCTCGTCTGAGCTTCCAGAATCCACGGACTCCAAGGGATTCTTAAAGCTTTCGACGGTCAACCAGAACTGTACAAGGAGGGAGCGTTGTCGGCGGTCCATGAACTCCATGAGGTAGGAAAGTGAGCTGGGGTTGGTCAGAACGTCTCGGAGCGTCAGAGGCGTCGTAGTCGGGGCGTCTTGGAACATGGTCTGCCGCTGTCGACGGTATCAGCATCTGTAGATGTACACAAGAGCAAGATGAGCATACTGAGTCCGCCTCGCCGCCAAGCACGGTTATGCGCTTCTCGACCTTCCGCTTTGCAGTGTAGAGTCGATCGAGGAATGCGACGATGTCTTCGGTCTTCTCGCCGTTGATCCAATCTGAGTTGGCATTGTTGGCTGGGATAAGGTGTCACTTGTATGCCTGGCGTTACAATCTTCTCGTTGCTCACCGAGCAAAGTTCGCGTCCTTCTGATTTCTCCCATGATGTCACTCCTAAGTCTCCGCGCGTCCAGTAACGAAGACAATCGACTGATACTACGTAAGAAGGACTCGAATTGCTTCATGTCGGTCCGGATCGTGATTGTTGTCTCCGTCGTCGAGGGCGGCGCGTCTGGTAAGCCAGCATTCGGGCGCGGAATCTGTGCCTCGAGAATGTGTCGGACCTTGGAGATCAGCCGTCTATACATTCGCAAGGATAAGTCGCTACGTAGAGCTAGAGCACAGGGGCCCGCAAGCGGACGCACTGTTGACGGATAGCTGCACCTGCCTGAGTTGGGTCAGACTTTGCAGCACGATACGCCGCCACTACTCACGACTTGGTCAATCATACGGTTCCAGAAGTCGGGGTCTGATAGCATATCCATGATAGGGTACATGACAGAGCAAGCGACTATTTCTCTGACGACTATCTTGACCGCGCGGCTGCCAGCCTCCTTCTCCGGCAGGATGTGCGGAAGAGCCTTGTCCACCAGGTCTCGCAGATGATTCTCTTCCGACTGCTTGGTGAACGTCGAGGAAAGGTTGTCCACAGCAGAGTGCAACTTCCCGCCGCCGCGTGCGGCATAACGGCTGGCAAGCAGAAGGTCAAGCTCTTCAGATTGGGTCAGCTTTCGCTCCAGACCGGCGCCTCGGAGAGCAACCTCGGACTGGCGGTACTGTTCGATATGCGCCGTGACCTTGGGGAGGATGCGCTTCACAACCAAGGCGGAAAGGTCAAGGGTTGCGGTCTTCTCCAGGAGGCGTTCCATGGACGCATGAAGGGTGGACGACACGGCGGTAGGGAAGGATGGCGATGACGAAATATCCTTGTACCATACAAGCACGAAGTCGCGTACTATCAAGATGAGAATATCATTGATTGCAGCGGATACGACAGGCGCGTCGGCACATAGAGGCGGAAGGGACTGTGGCGCCTTGTGAGACCATTGAGACCGTGTCAAGACAGCTTGCCAGGCGGCGGGGGTAGAGAAAGCCAGTGGTCGCGCGGCGGTCGTGAGCGCATTCGTAGGAGCGGGTCGTACAGAGTCCAGCAGATATCCGAGCGCGACGTTGAGGATGAAGAACCCGACCACGACCAGAAGAAGGAATAAGGGCAGCAGGAGAGCCAAGGTGAGTGGGGAGGACAGGATACGTTTGAGCACGGGGAGGCCAACGCCTACGGCCAGGAGAGCAATTATTACATGCCTGCCAAGTGGCGGCATCACCGGGATGGCCTATCGTCGTCGGTCGTCGCTCAAAGCGTCGGGCGGATGGTGGTCGGCAACGTCGAACGTAGCCTCCAAGTCGCGCGACGCGGCGTGCTGAGGCAGGACCCCGGCAGTCCCAGGTGTCATTGCACTGTCCGAGGTCCCGGACTCTGTATCGACCCAGGCGCCTGCGAAGCCGGGCTTCTTTCGACTGCCTCGAAGGCTCGGACCCTATTGAACGACGCGGGGTATGGGATGATCGCAGAGGGAGTGCTGTCGCAATCCGCTTCATACATTCACAGGAAAAAGAGTGTTTGGCAATGCGCTGCAGTACTGAGAGTGAACGCTCGTAATAAGGGTCCACCAGTCGGTGTCGCGGGGAATTCGAAGCTCATGAGGCTCGAATGCACGATTTTATTCATCCGACCTTGCACAAAGATGTTCTCTTCCATGAGCGGTCTCCATACTCAAACCAACTGAACTATCCTCAAGGACGTCAGAGCTGCGCAGGACGCGCGCGAAAAGCGGATAGGCTGACCCATTGCGCGATCGCAATAACATAAGTACTTGCTTTCAACGCCGCCCGCGGCGCTCGGATGACTCGCACACCAACCTTTGCTTTCTCCATTCCCCTCCCTCTCCCTCTCACACCCGCCGGCCCAATATGAGCACAACGCCAGCCCCCAGTCGGCCCTTGTCTACCGCAGAAGGCTTCATATGTGGCGGGTTGGCGGCGTGCATGGCTGTAAGTCCTCGCTTCAACGCTTTCAGCGCGGCGGGCCATGACGCGCGCTTTCCATGATGTAGGTGACCGTGTCCAACCCTGCGGAGGTGGCCAAAACGCGCATGCAGCTGCAAGGGGAGCTGGCAAAGCAGGGCGGGACGAAGGTGTATAAGAACGCGCTGGATGTCATCGCCAAGACATGGAGAAACGAAGGCATTAGAGGCATCCAGAGAGGCTTGGGTCCTGCGGTGAGTGCACAACGTATAACTGGAGGGCCGCACTGAACTTCGCATGTCCGGGCAGTATATCTATCAAGTGAGTCATTCTACTCTTCTTTCGCGGCGAAAGTCTGATGATTTCTAGATTCTCATGAATGGGTCTCGGCTGGGTACGTCATGGCTTAAGCGTCTCGGAAGTAATCTGCGTGTTCAATGTATACCGCAGGTTTTTATGAGCCCATACGGAGACAATGTAACAAATTCATTGGCGCAAATCCTACGGACCAGATCCCTCTCACTTCCGTCTTCTCCGGTGCCGCAAGCGGAATGATTGGAGGTTATTAAGCCCGTCCTACGCAGTCTGACAACAGTCACTGAACCATGTCTCCAGCAAGTCTAGGAAACCCGTTCTTCCTCATCAAAGCGCGCATGCAGGTGGGTTGACCATCTCGCATTCTATATACGCATGGTACTGATGTACAACCTGTAGGCATACTCGCCTGTACTACCGGTCGGCGCCCAACATTATTACAAGAACTCGTTCGACGCGTTCAGGAATGTCTGGCATGCCGAGAAGCTTCGTGGCCTGGTGCGAGGTATCGATGCGGCGGCTCTGCGGACAGCAATGGGCTCTTCCGTGCGTTACTCGCGGAGCAGATATCACTATTGGACACGGGCTAACCGCTGCGTGCCTGTCAGGTACAACTACCCACGTACAACTGGACGAAGAACCAGCTTGTCAGTCGTGGTATTCTGCGCTCAGACAGCATTTGGACCTTCCTGGTCAGCAGTTCGGTGTCTGGCCTCTGTGTGGTACGCTGCTGCTTTACATGACATGTCCTACTATCGCTTACCGGAAATCTGAAGCTGACTATGATGCAACCGACGGATACCGTACTGACGCGCATGTACAATCAACCTACCATACGCACCCCGGAAGGGAGGCATGTCGGGACGCTCTACAAGAATCCCATTGATTGCCTGTGGAAAACGCTGAAGGCCGAGGGGCCCCTGGGCTGGTACAAGGGTAATGATGTCGCACTTGCGTCTCTTACAACCCATCTAACATGCGTCTCTTCAGGCTCGACGGCGCACTTCCTTCGTATAGTTCCACATACGTGAGTCCTTCGGCGGTTTTCCGGCTGATCATCACTGACGTAGACGATCCATACAGCATCGTTACGCTTACTGCGAACGACCTCATAGTTGGGCTTTACAAACGTGTCCGGGACGGGCATGCATAATACTACTTTATACCGTATACATGCGTATAGCTTGGCGAACGCTAGTACTAAACACATCGCGTGTGTGGGTCTACATTGACCACTGCAGCTCGCCCGAGAACATGAGCGGAAAGTGAACATGTAAACAGCGTTTGAACCTACAACCAATGCGATCTCCATCGCAAGTACATGTTGGCAATTCTTGCCATAGAGGTTCACCGTCTCACCGACTTCCAGTAGACGTTCATCGTAGCGAGATACGACCCAGGAACCAAAAAAGTGAACCCTGCCCGGATCGAACGGACGACCTTGAGGATGTCCCTTGCACGGATTACTCCGTTGGCTGGAATCTCACGCGCTACCACTGTGCCAAGGGTTCTTGTCATTCTGTGTGTGGCGCTCACCATGAGCCCATGAGGTATCCAACTGAAATACTTGTGGCACGACTCCGGGACTCGAATTGGATCGACTTTTGCCAGAACCACTGGCAATTAATCCGAAGTCCACGGTACGAGGAAGCAAGTACTGAAGCGCAACAGCTTTGTTTGTGCAGACACTTAGGGGGATGCTCTCTGAGACCACGGCAGAGGGCGCACAACGGTTTGTTGCTCCCAGTCGGGAGCCATCGCAAAACGAGCCTGAGCTAGAACCACAACCGGTCGACAACTTCGCTCCACCTCTAGACCGAGTAGCGCTTGGGACTTTGCTCGTTCAGCATTTCTCGAAGTAAGCTTTGTCCCTGTCTGCTGCGGCGATGTCGCTAAATTGCGTCAAATCTTCCATAGCTCATGGGGCCAACGGACGGCCGAATTCGCCGTATACCTCCTTCTGGTCACCTTGTTCCCTGACACACTCCTCCCTGCGTCTATCTATGGATTTGCTACGACAGGATCCGCCATGTTGCTTTCAGGATGGGCCGGCAAGCTTGTGGATGAACACCATAACCTCCGCATCGTCCGCGCTAGCATTATCACGGTCAAGTTCGCTGCTTGCATAATGTACGCCGGGACGCTCGTTCTCCTTTATCGCCGTACCCCGGGATCGGACAGCGGCAACCTGTGGACCGCACCTCTTGCCTCCGGGATGTTCGCTCTTGTTGTGTTAGGGGGCTGCGTTCACAACCTAGCTGGAGTTACGATCTCTGTCGCTGTAGAACGTGACTGGATTACAACTATCGCGGCGAACTCGACGGATCACCTCACTGCGTTGAACACATATATGCGGCGTATCGATCTTCTATGCAAACTCCTCGCGCCGCTGTTTGTCTCCTTACTAACGACCACTGCATCGTACCACTTTGCGGCAATCTTTCTCTGCGGAGTAGAGGCCGCTTGCCTGGTATTCGAGCTGATCTGTAAGTGTCTTTTGCATACAGAACATGATCAATGGAACTCATTTGGCGTAGGGACTGAGGTGTCTTACCGCCGCTTCCCGGCTCTGCACGAAGCACAGGCCTCTAAAGAAGCCGCGCAACGCACCCATGCGCGCGACGAGGGAACAAGGGAACGCCCAAGCCGCCCGGTATATGCCATTATCTGGACCCACCTCAAGTCCAGGACGAAGGAGGCGTACCTCGACTGGCGCGAGTTCTCGCAGCATCCCGTATTTCTGTCGTCACTCGCCATTTCGAGCCTCTACCTCACAGTGCTCAGCTTCGACGGCACGATGCTCAGCTACTTGAAGGCACATACATACAGTGATGCCTTCCTGGCGGGGATTCGTGGAGTCAATGTCGTAGCCGGATTACTGGGCACCGTGGCGATGCCCCTTATGGAAAGGAAACTGGGTCTCATTAGGGCAGGAAATTGGAGTATCTGGTAAGAGACGACCGAGTAGTGTGGTTCCGAGTACCGCTTACTCACAGCCTCCTCTAGGTCTGAGGTATTGTGTCTTCTCCCGGTTCTTATCGCCTTCTATGTGGGTGAGCCCTCGGACGGCTTGCGAGGGCCAGCCTGGAACGCCGTGCTACTTTTCGGAGGTGTGTCGATACTGCCACTCCCAGATGCCATATAGTAACTTATGGAGGGCTGTCTTAGGGATGACATTTTCTCGGATCGGCCTATGGGCGTTCGATCTATGCCAACTGAAGGAGCTGCAGCTCGCACTGGCAACGCATCCGAGGCGAAACTCACTGTACGTGTATATATTCTCCGATCTACCAAGAAATCTACTAATTCATTGGAACAGGACTGCATTACAATATTCATTACAAAACGTCGCCGACATGCTCAAGGTATGACTTCCTTTATCATCTTCAAAGTCAGGCAACATTGGATGTGTACTGAAGACATCTTGCAGTATATTCTGACGATTGTCCTAAGCCGCCCGTCGCAGTTCAAATATGCGGCCCTCGCGTCTTTTATCAGCGTGTGCGCAGGCGCCTTCACGTACCTCTTGTATGTTAAGAGAGAGCGTGGTCACCTCCTACACCACTCCCTCGAGGACATCATTCCGCTACTCAAGAGGAGGGCCCAATAGACACCTGTTATATAGTAATGAGTTCACACGCGGCCTTCCGTTGCCAGGTTCGTGAACTGTTTGAGCACCACGCCGCCGAAGTGCATTTCTCGAGACCGTAAGATGGGCCGAAATACTAGCTCGCCATATTATTCTAAAATGATACATTTAGGCCGAAGGTATGTACCGAAAAGCTATCCATCTAAACATCCGTGCTTGCGAGATGCGCCTATGAGCGAGACATACCAACACCCTTCTGGTCCGTCGACAATCGCTCGGACGACACATTGTCAGGAATGTCCGGGGCGTAATCGGTGGTCTTGTCTACGGTGATGTGTACCTGGGGCGCGAAAAAGGTATCGTTAGCTTCGGGCGACCATGCAACGGTGGGCGTACTCACCCTTGTACCTGTCCCAATGTCGAGCTGTTCAGCGATCTGGGTGTCATCACATGTCAGCCTCGCTGTCTACGATCCCGAGCCACTAGGTCAGACTCACTGAATGAGCGCCGAGCCCGTGCTGAGTACCAGGGAAGATGACCGGCAAACGGTGCGCACTCGTGGACTGAGACTGCGACTGAGCCAGGAGGCCCTTGCGTGCGTTCATGCTGCAGGTGTGCCGTTGTAAATGATGGGGGAGACGTGCCTTCGTAGACAACAGATACTCACGAAGCGAGGAATGAATTGGCGTATACTGCACAGATAGCGTCAGCGAGCGAAGCTAGTCTGAAACAACGGAGCTCACGCTTGCTGATAGTAAAGTGAAGGCCCAAGTAGATGAGTTCGTCAGGCTCGACCAGCCACTGGACATGATTCATGGTGAGTCGACGGTCGTGAGTAGACTAGGGCGTAAGACAGATACTTACAAAAATCAAGGAAATCAAAGTTGTCACGCTGCACAGCCCGTGTAAGCCATGGCCATCAACTGCAGTATATACGATTGGGCGCACCAGGTAAGCAAGCCATTTTCAATGGTATATAACGTCACGGCGTTGAGAATATGGTCGAATCTGATGTATGTCAGGCATCAGAAATTTCTCAGGATAGAATGCAAAGCCATAGCAGCTTGATTCTTACCTGCCGGTGCCGCCCCTGTGTCTCCTTAGAAAGTAGCAGAGTCCGACAGTGATCAACACATCCACGATGGAAGAGAGCACGAGGCCAAGCGTGAAGACCGACTGTGCCCAGGTGAGGTTCCAAACGTACACACAGGTAGGGCGCACTCACTCGGAAGCGAAGCCCAAATTCGGAAAAGCTTTTCAAACGGATCCTAGAGCCAGCATCTACGTCAGCGTCTGCAACAAAAACCCCGCGCCCCGCATACTTACAACTCAACAGCGGTGACTAGCCGGAAACATGTGAGTGATTGCCAATACGCAACTGATTGCATGAACGCTCACCGAATGCAGCGACTATGGTTGTCCGGACGTTTATCAGAACACCATGGTGAGTAACGGTGGTCAGTAGCCCTGTCGCGCATTCACTTACCTACTCGGGCGACTGCGAGGACAGTCTGAAAGGATGTTGCGTGGGTTAGCGGGTGTTGTACAACGTGCGCTCGACAGATTCGCTCACGATCGGCGCGGTAATCCAATAGTTGCCCTTGCTGACTGTAGAGGAAGGTCAGTAGCACGCCTTTACAAGAATACGTGTGCTGACGTTTGAACAAGCGCATAGAGAAGAACCTAGAACGATTGGAATTGAAGCGTTCGGCCTAGCGTGATATAGCAGCAGTACTACTCACAGGTGCACACAGACGGTGAGTACAGCCTATTCCGTGTCGGCAGTCAGAAGACGGCAGTGCTAGGCGAGTACGCGATGCTCACCGTCAAAGCTATCGAGACCTAGTAGCAAGTGGATCAGCATGAGGTTATAGAAGATGGTTGCCATACGCACTCCAATTGTCCTAAGGGTCGTATGTTGTTAGTTTGAGGAGGTAGACTGGCTGTTCGAGTACTTACCAAAAGACTTGATCCGTTACATCTTCCTCACCGAAATGACTGACAAAGTACATGAAGTTTGCAGCAGCAATCATGATTGAATGCAGGAAGTCCAAGACGCTGACGGGCCAAATGTTATGTAAGCTATCCAAATAGCGAGGGGAAAGAACATCTTACAAGACCACAGCGACCTACGTGATCAGGTTATTAATGTTGCTGTATTCGTGAGCCAGTCAACCCTTACCTTGACTTTTGTAGACGTTGAATCTCGGCTGAACAGACGGAAATAAAGAATAGTCTGCATCCCAACAATCCCGGAGAGCCTGAAGCAGGGGTGATAAAGTCAGTATGGACGAGACGTGCATTCCGTGAGGCGTATTCTGTGAATCCTACCCCGCACAGCCTAGCCCTCCAAAAAGAAGGGCACCGAGGCTCGTCTTGAGATTGGACTCAGTTAACAGAACCATGGTTGACCGTCTTCACCCAGCGGGATGTCCAGCATGCGAATGCAACGATGAAGAGCGCAGTGGGGGAGAGGAGGAAAGTGCGGGGATTATGCGCAAGGCATTTCAACTGATTTCAACAAAGCGAGACCATGGCAGGATCCGCGGCTGCCGATGCTGTCAAGGCCACCTCCGCATCCCTGGACGCAAAATGTTCAGCCGGGGTTCCCTAGACGTTCCTTCCCCACATCCTGGATTTGAATGCCGGCGGGAAGGGATGGGTCTGAGATGGGACGCCGGAAAGCGCCGGAAGCGCGAGAGCTGTGCAGAAGCAGCCAATCAGGGTACTCAATCTCGTTCGCAAATCCTTCGGAACTGGCACCGAACCCACAGAACGTAGCGACGGGATGAACGCGCGTCTCGAGGTGTCTCGTGGTGAACGATCCAGAAGCCCACCACTCCCCGGTCGAACGGATGAAGCTAGAATAAGCATCATCACCGGCCCTTCTCAAGTCGTGAGACCTGAGGCCTGGACACTGGT